GGCAACATCTCAATAGCCGAAAAAGCCTCGTCCCGACCGAGACCGACGAGCTAACCGTCGACACCTCGTCGGACGAACACGGCAGGCCGTTGATCAAAGCCTCGATCTGCTGCGAGGACCGGTCGGACCTCTTGCCCGATTTGATCAAGACATTAAAAGATCTGAGGCTGCGTACGTTGAAGGCCGAGATTACGACACTCGGCGGCCGAGTAAAGAATGTGCTGTTCATCACTGGTGAAGATCAAGAAGAAGAGTTAGATGGAGGAGAGGAATATTCTATCAGCTCAATACATGAAGCCCTTAAAGCAGTTATGGAGAAATCCAGTAGTGGTGATGAGTCAGCTTCTGGGAGTGTTAAGAGGCAAAGAACCAATAATAATATCCTTTGAATTCATTATTAGGGTTTATAAAGTATAATATAATTAATTAACCTCCTTTTTTTCTAATTTGTGTGGCTTTCTTGGGTTTTTTTTTTTTTTTTTTTTTTTTGCAATTGGTACTCTTTTGTTATATTGAATTGCTAAAAGGCTATCGTATGTAATTTTATTGGCAAGAAAACCCGTATGATTAATTTTGTTTAGCAACTATTACCTTGTTCACAAGAGGTATATATAGTATGCTAAAAAAACTGAATCGTAGGGGGGTTTTCGCTAATAAAATAACGTAATGTAGTTTTTTTAGTGATTCGATATAACATAGGGGTACTAATTGCAATAAACACTTTTATTTTGGGGGTATAGTATAATTCATCAGAATTAAGAGAATGTGTGTGAATTAGGACAAAAATGTAGAGAGAGAAAGTGGAAGCAGACAGCTGACAGGAGTGGAATGTGGTTGGTGAGTGTTCCAAATATGTTGTTCGATTCACACACAGTAAACACACACTGACGGTGAGAATGTGGGGGGAAGAAGAAAACAAATTAAAGGAGAGATCTTTTTGCGTGAAGAGAGAAACCTAAGATCAGAACCGAACATAGAAATTAACCTAATTTCTTGATCTGCATGCATGCAGAATTTGTCTTGTTCTGTATTTTTTTACCTGTCTGCAAAAAACGATAGTGCAGACTTACGTACTGTACAATTAGGTTATTTTCAGAAAGGTGACGCTTGTTTTCTCCTCCCACACGAATGCTACCACCGGCTACCACCAGTGTACTACAGTACCGCCTGCAACTCCGCCACTGCAGCCACGTGTACCACCTTCCTCCTCCGACACTGAATGTGTTTATAAGTTATAAATCATGCATGGTTAGTATTATTATATTAATTACTATATTTTTTTTTTCTTTTTATATTATGTAAGTTTCAAGTGGTCATCAAATATATATACACATGGTGGCCACGTAGGGGTGAGGTTTGCTGTATCAAGAGTGCAAGGTTTTTTTGTTGCACTTGTTTGTATTAAGACAACCTATATATATATTTGAATTATATATATCTTTTTTTGGGGTGTTTAATTTTTTAAACTGATTCTATATGATGATTTTTTGTTTTGCATCTACGTGGGACAATTAATTGCAAATTCCTGTTTTTTTTATAACAAATTGTAGCTTGACGGTAATTAATTTACTACAACCAAGGACGGAAATTTGATGGATCGAATCGGATCGAAATAAGCACTTTCGGAATACTTTAATTTTTTTCTCGGAAGTGAAAAATTCGTTCCAATTCGGTTCCAAAGAATCAGAAAAATCGAAAATTGAAATGAAAAAAACTCGTTCCAAAATTGATTTTTTTTTTGCTCGGAATCAGCGGAAATTCCAGATTTATAGTCACTTGAAACATAAAATGTGTAATTTTATATTGATATTATAAGTGTATTTTTTTAGAAAAAATATGGAATATTCGAAATTATTTCCGAAAAATAGAAATAGGATGGGAAATCGGAACCTCATATATATTCTAATTCCGTACCAAAATAAATCATCATCGAATTTCAAGAATTTAAAATAAAAAGAATTGTTCCAAAATCGAATCGGCAAAAATTGGATATTAGATTCCAATTTCCATCCTAGCTACAATGAATGTTTTAT